CCCGTGTAATTTCAACGGGACGGTTCCAATTAGACACACATTTCGCTGTACGGTTCCCGTTTGGCACAGAGCCTAATTGGAACCAAAACGACCCTCTCCTTAGTAAATCTCCCTCCGATCCGTCTCCAATGGGAATTTCATAATAATTTTTAGATCGTTAAATAGCCAAGACTTTCACCTACAAAAGCCCCCAAATTCGGTGAAAATCGCTTCAGAACTCACTCAGATACTGAAGTCACAAGTTAGACAAATCTGGTTGCGGTTCCAATTAGACACTTTACTCGATAGACTAAAAATATGTTCACAACTATTTGAAAGATCGTTTCAGTCTAATTGTATTGATGGGATAGTACAATTCTTTTTTTATTTTTCTCTAAAGTAAGTCTATGTTTAGAAGAACGATATAAAAATTTCAAAATTTTATTTTTATCTCAAGTCAAGTGATTGTCACATGAGGTATATATCTATATGTACAGAATGAAGGACAAGATAAAAAAGAAACACGACAGTTCTGAACTCTTTCATATATAAATTCTATACTGTATTTCAATAATAGATTTTTTCACACTATCTTGGTATACACTGTAGTGTGAACAATAGATGATCATTAACAAATTGTTTTGATAAAAAATAAGACGTCTTTTGAAATATACGTTTTACTGGTACTGTATTATACTATAAACTTAACATTGAGAATAAAAATTTAAAAATTAAACTTAATTCTTGATGAATACATTGATATGTATTTGAAGTGTTTTTCATCACTTTTCTTAATTCTTTACTTGAAGTAAAATACAAGTGAGATTGTTTTGACATTAACGCTAATTAGATATACTGTTGTTTGGAAAAAAAAATCATTTACTGTAGTATACAACTGCAACGTGTTAGGAAAATACTCTATAGTGATTTGTTTCTATCATCCTTGAATACAGGTGCAATAGTTCGTATGATACAAGAGAATAAGATTTTTTTTCACACTATAGTATAACAAATTCTAACTGTGTAATATATCGTTTTAGATTTCAAGTTAAAATTGTGAAATAATGGGTGCTGATATATTTGCTGATCCTTCGATTGACGTGAACTACTGGGCACGTTTTTTAATGCAAGTTTTAATTATTTTGGTTATAGTTCGAATTATGGGAGCTCTGCTAGCATTAATAAAACAACCTTCAGTATGTATAAAGAATTTATTTTTCAAATTTATGCGCCTTTTGGAAAGTTGTACTTAGAATACACTGATTTTGTTACTGCAGTAAATAGGATGGTCTTTAAAAGTGGAGTTAAAGAACCCCTTTGAGTTTCAGTGTTTCGAGTGTAGTATCAGCCCTTGAAGCTCGTCTAACATTAGAAAATTCATAACCTCAATCAAAATATCGTGCACTGACCTAAAAACGTCAGGTTGTACTATATTTAGGCAATTCATATTCTATTGGGAACAAATACACAAGAACACTTTACAAAAATGTACGATTCTCTGAAAGTGTGTTGAGAAAATCTCTGAACAAAAAAAGAACTTTTCAGATTCTTACCGTATAGTGGAAACACTGGTAACTAGGTTTTTCACCTATTTAAATTTTTTTCAAAAACCTACCATTGCCATCAGATCTAACGTAACTGAATACGTATGTTCTTTTGACTATTTCAATGTGACTCCAAGTCACTGAATATTATAGTTCTTGGACTTCAAGGAAAACCGATACTACGCTCAGAACACTGAAACTCAAAGGTGTTCTTTAACTACAGTTTTGAAGAGTATATTATTTACGGCAGTAACAAAACTAGTGTATTAATCCTTCTAGTATTCAAAGAGCTTCTTTACAAACCTCCTTTCAAAAAGAATGTTGAAATTTACTTTGCTCAAAAGTGATCAAGTAGTTTTCTCTACTGATTAGCAAAAACCGTATATTTCTATCTCTTTTTGTTGAAACATGACAGCTACGTACATTCTACTTTATATCGAGTACCCAAGAAATAATTTGAAGTCATTAACAATCGTTAGAATGCGTTAAATATGAAAATAATTACGTATATTATATTTAACGCTTTCTTACGGTCGTTAGCCGTTTCAAATTATTTTCAGGTGAATCAATTGGTACTCCAGGGAGCGTCAAACCTAGAAAAAAATATTTTATCGGCACTCGTTGTGCGCGGGTGAGCACCGATGCGTGCGCACGGGTGCCAATCGGCACTGATTCGGCGCGGATGCTTACCGGTGCCAGTGACCGATGGCATGCCATGCCCACCAGTGCGCACTGGCATTACCGCACTGGAATTTTTTTATAGGAGAGTATCAACTAGGACGTCATCCAGACGTTTGAGCGTTCCTCGAACTCTACTTTGACTCGCAAGATTCGGGTTGCATATTCGCGTTTTATTCGTATCGTCACGAGCATCTCGCTCGTCGGGCAAGGGATGAGTACATATCACCGGAACAAAAAAAATAAAGTTGGTTTTGAGTTGCTGGAAAGTGTTTTCTCGTGTTCAGCACACTCGATAACCCAGAAGATTTTCTGTTTTTGGCGAGGGGCACTTCTAAAAGTTTAGGAAAAATTTTGATACAAAATGGCGCAGCAAAATTTCAATGGGAAAGTAATATTAGTTTGAAAATTTTTCCTAAACTTTTGGAAGTACCCCTCGCCAAAAATAGAAATCTTCTGGGTTATCAAGTGTGCTGAACACGAAAAAACACTTTTCCACCAACTTTATAACCAACTTTATTTTTTTTCCGGTGATATGCAGGTGTATAGTGAGAGTAAGTGAAAAAGCTAAAAGTCTAATGATGAAAATTGAGTGTTCACCATGACACTGAAATCTGGAAATTTTCCCCTTATTGTAAGTTTTTGTTATACCAATTTTCATATATTGAATTTTTAGCTTTTTCACTCACTCTCACTATCCACCTGCTCTCGTCCATCCACGATGAGCGAGAGATTCGTCAAAATACAATCGGAATCTAGCAAGTCAAAGTATAGTTTGAGGAACACTCAAACGTCGGGCCGCTCATAAGTTAGATGACGTCCTCGTTGATACTCCCAGCAAGGTTTTTGCATGGAAGCGCCAATAGCTCCTAGTTGCCACTTCCGTGAGTCCCAATAGCCATTCCGATTATTTTATGGATAGTGGCTCTTGATTTATTTAAGTTTTATAGACTTGAAACAAGTATTTTTACAATTCTCTGAAAAAAATAATCGTCGTAATCATAGTAGAAAATCGTAACAAATTAATAAAACAAAAGTGTTCAAAGTTTATCTTTCAAAAACTATACAATATTTCACGCTTTTTGAAGCTAATGAATCCTTTGAGGACCGATTTTTTTTTCCAATCGAAATCAACATGTTTAATCTTTTTATTTTATTTTAATTCAAAATGGCTACTTGAAAATACTGTGATAGTCAAAAAAACAGTTTTTTCCATCTTTTAAA